TGTCGAGGTGTGTCTCCACCAGGATGTGGATGTCATTGTCTCGGCTCCATAGCCAGTCAAGAGTGTGCCGGCCGAAAGTGGTGATGTTGGCCACGTGGAGCTTCATGCTATCCTGTGTGTGTCTTGCCTTTTTAGGCGGTGTGCCGTGCAGCGGAGGGTCGTAGTCTGGAGTCTCTGGCTCAGGCATGGCCCGCTGGATTTGTCGCGGCTTGACAAAGGCGGTGGTCTCTACAGCCCAAATCTGTACTATTTGGCCAGCGAGTTGGGGCGTCAAGAAAGGGAGCACCGTTGGATGGCCGCCATCATCAGCGATCCACATCAAGTCTCTGTAGACCAGGATGGTGAAGTAGTGGCCGCTGTCATGGGTGGGTCCTCTGTGGCAGATGTACGCAATGGGAATGCACTCTGCACTGGCTCTGGAGAAACCGTCCAAGGACCTGGGAACGGTAAAGGTGCCATGCGGGTTGAGCGCTCGTTTGCGCTTGGTCAGGACGCCATCGTAGGTGACTGCCCGATTGATGTGGGCCACCAAGACAGTTTTGTCATCACCCAGGAATTGTCCCAGTCCTTGATTGGCCCAGTTGTTCATCAGCTCCTGCCAAGTGATTTCATCCAGGAATTCATCTGGGTAGTCCACAATGAGCGGAAGCTGGACATGGTCAGCTAGGTAGCCCTGTTCTTTGATCTCAGAGTACCTGTACTGCATCACTCGGGTCTGGGATTTGAGCCAGAGCGTGTTGACAAAGTGTGCTGCGTCACCCTCGAGGTTCAGGTCATGCTGTTTCCAGAGATCCTCGAGTCCGGGTAAGGCCTTGATGTCAATGGCCTCAGTGAGCTCCAGTGAGGTTTGTACTGCTTCTTTGACTGTGCCCCATGGTTCCAGGTTGAATTCGGCCAGATAGGCACACATCCAGCAAAAAGCTCTCCATGGGGCATTGGCATAACACCTGGTGCTGGGGTTGCCGATGATCATCGTCAGGTTTTGGAGGATGAGATCAGTGGTTGAGGCATATTCATGGTGGCTCATGTCCTTAGTTCCACAGCCCGTGGAAGTGGTGGTCTCCAAAGAACTGGAGTAGGTGCCGCCGGTCAGGTTCACAAAGGGCTGGCCATTGCCGTTATGGGAGGCCGTGTCAAAATTGTGACCAGTAAAGGTGTCTGGTGCTGTCGTGGGATCAGATCCCATTGGGATGTGGTTGGATTGCTGTTCCCCTGCAATCAGTGTCCCCAAAACGAGAGGTGCAAAAGGGCTCCAAGTTGAATTGTCCCCATCAATTTGGAGGCTCATGCGAAGTTGTCTTGACTCCGGAGTTAAAGATGCGATTGATCTGATGTCCGTTGTCTGTGCAACTGGCATTTCCCCTGTTGAGCCGAGGCCTGCGCGGCAAACCGGTGTTGGTGGTGTTGCCATGCTCGGAGGCTCAAATTCTTGCAAAGGTTCGTCTGGTTCCTGGTATTCCCCATGTGAATTTTCTGTCCCATCCCATGACCACGAGTCATCATCTGGTAACGGAAAATTCAACCCCGAAGTGGCTCCATGTGCAGGAGGGTTACCCACAGTGTCCTGGGGCAAGTGGTGCAGGGCCATCAGTTTTGCGCCTCTTGGTCGGATCCTCAGTGTCAGATCCTGAGCGCTTGAGAAGACCGTGGAGTTGAGTCTTTTGCTCTTCGGTCAAGGCTATCCCTAGGTTGTGCACGAAAGATTCCACAGCCATGGGGATTTGCTCTGGCTCTGGCAAGGTGCCTGTTAACTCGGCAGGTGTGGGTGTTTGGTTCACCGCTTTCATGTAGTCTTGTGAGAGCTGCTGCAAGGCTTTTTGCCCTTCTGCAAGTTTCCCTTGGAGGGTTTGCATGTCAGCCAGCAAGGTGGTGTATTGAGCCTTCACACCGTCGATCTTGTCCTGAAGCTGGCTTTTCCTGATTGACAGGGTTTTCAGCTCCGTGACTTGGCCTTTGAGCTTCATGGCTATGTCTTTCTCGGTGCAGGGTTCCGGTGCCGTGAGCTTCGTGACGATCTGCTGAACTTGGGTGGGGAGGGACTCCATGTGCGACTTGAGGATGTCTGTGAGCTCTGGCTCTTCTGGCTTGGCTGGGCCAATGCCGAGTGCTTGAAGGCGGGTCTGTGTATCTGCGGGCAGGGTGGTCCAGCTGGTGGCCAAGAGGTCTGTGGCTTCTTGTTGCACCCGAGATTTCTTCAAGGGTTTGACACGTCCCAGTCCTGAGGGTGTCTCCAGCCATGGTTGCTTTACCTTGGAGGTAGGTCGCCCATAGCCCTTGCCCTTGCCGGCACCTCCAGTGGCAGCAGGCCACCAGTTGCCGCATCGTCTGCACTTGGTGTTGGGTTTGACTTTGTCAGTCCAAATCCAATTGGTGCAGTCTTGTCTTGAACAAGTCATGTAAGCTCTGCCCCATTGTGGTGTCATTGTCCCTGATCAGGAGCAGGTGTCCGGTTCGGATGAGGTCAACCTAAATGGCAAACTGGGTGGCACCGATCAAGATCTGGCCAAAGTGAACCTGAAGGTTGTAGTCCAGTCACCAGGTGGAGCTCTCAGAAATAGCCAGGCGAGAACTGCCGGACACCAAAGGTCTCGTCAGGGATGGCCAAGGAGAAGACGGATATAACTAGCAAAGAATGTGTGGTAGGCCGAGAAGTCGAGACTCGAGGTCAGGTGAAAGTCTTTGCTATGTTCGAATGGGGATATCCGCACTGGCAGGACTTTATGGGAAGCCTGCTTGATCTCAAATGGCCTTGAGCCAAAATGGCTACGGATGTATGTATGTATGTATGTATGTATGTATGCATATACCAATCCCGAGATCCATGGAGGAAAGCGATGGACGGGGGGGGGCGAAGGTTCACCTTCCAGCGAGCCGCTCGACGTTCGCCAGCGATTCGCAGCGATCAACATCAACATCGTTCGTTCCCGGAAACCGTTTTCCGCTCAACATGGAGGGTCAAGGTGGTCAACACGTTTGGGCCACCTTCGCTCCTTGTAACGGTGGTCATGAGTCGTATGTGAGGGTCCATGATGTCATATGATAGTCCTAAGCTGCCATAATACGGTGTTCATGATTTGAAGCCCCACCATGCCCCACCATGCCATTGCAATCTGAGCCTCCCAAAGCGTGCCGCAACAGCCCTTGGGCTTCTCGGCCAAGGGCTCCGGGGGGGCTTTGCACCAAAATGGCGAACAAGTCGTAGGAGGCGTGCACCACATCATATTTCCAAATCCTACCGAATTTGAGGAGTGCAACCATCAGCTATGCCGCATCCTAAGCCTCATCATATGCCTCGCGTGCGCACCATGCGCTTCTGTACTGATTCAACGTGTTCGACAGCGACCCGAAAGACCTGAAAGATCTGAAAGAAGGAGACAACGCAAAGCAGTGGCATGGGAAACGCACACAGAGCGAGCTCCCACTACTAATTAGTCTTTATTAGTACCATAAGTCATGGTTCAGTTTGTGTTTTGGTTCTTCTCAAATGTTCTTCCGAAATCAACGCCACAACAAGCCCCACAAACGCAAACCGGTATGGCCTACGCTCTCTCCAAAAATCCTGGCAACCCCAACCGAAACGGACAAGTCGCGCGCCGGACTGCCGTGCCGGACTTCCGTGCCATACAGACCGTCGCTTGTGGCACAAAGGGCGGGGTGGGACACGTCACACGGGACCGGGAGACTGGGGCGAGTCTACCGGCGTTCGTGGTCTTTGGTCTACGTGCGGAACACTGGCAAAAAAATCGCTGGGTCCTTGAGCTGGTGGATGCTGATCAAGAAGTCAAGAGTTTACATGATCTGGTCAACCCTTGCAGCACTTGCACCTTGCAGGCACCGCTTGAAGGGGCCTGCAGACCGACCACCACCCCGTGCCGCCGCCGCGGTCCTCACCGTGTAGTCCACGCCACCGCTCACCACGAAGTCCGCCGCCGCCGAGGCATCCACGCAGGTCACGCGGCCATCGTGGCCGCGGGTGAAGAAGTGCCGGAGCAAATCCATCATGCTGTCATCCCCTTTGGCCTCAGCTGAGGAAGAGATTCACGCAGCTGAGTGAGTGAGGGATGTCAGGTAACAAGAAGGGGTGTGAAGCTTTCCCTAACCAATTCCCCATAGGAGTCGCACGAGTCGGACGCATCCTTCGCATGCCTTCGCATGCCGAGCCCTCCGAAGGCATCCTTCGCCTCCGGCCCTCTCCGTGGCTCTCCGCTCGGCACACGGTTGCAGTGGTGGAATGCCCCGCAGGACCGGTCTGCTGCGAGGTAAGGACTGCGGAGAGTGTCCCATGGAGATGTTCGCGCCTTCCATCGACCAATATCCGACCAACACACGTGGGGTGTCGCCGGTGTTGCGGCCTACAGTAACTCTTTAGGCTCAGGTGGACCAAATGCATTGGACTCCTTAGGAGGTTTTTTCAACTCCTCCCAACTCTTGTCCAGATGATGAGAGGTCAAAACCTGCACAATCCGACAAGAAAAACCTGACATCCATCGGACGCCCCAAACCCGAAGAACCCGAAGTTTCGCCCCCAGTCCACTAAGACATTCAGCGCCGGGTGGCCGTGTATGCGACCTGTGCGGCGCTTTTGGGTCGGTGGGGGGGGAAGGGAGAAAACCCATCGAAAGGCAGGCGAGTTCCGAGTTCCGAGTTCCGGGCCTGTTCGGTTCCAGCCCCCAGCAGCAGTTCCGATGCTTTGCCATCTTCCACGTCCGCCATGACGTGGTTGGTCCGAACGACGAGATCGGATCGCGGGGCGGCTTGGACGAGATCTCGAACACTTCAGCTGCAGCTCGGCAGTCGGCGGCACTACTAAATGCACTGGCCCGAAAGTACCACAAAGAGTAATTACAAAAGAATCCCAATCAATCCAAATCATGAGTTCATTCATGTTCCTTGAAATCATGACCACATCTGGCACTCAAATCATCGGCTGCCACATCAAATGACCAGCCCCGTGCCGGTCAAGAAGCCACTTGTGTCTCTCAGTGTCTCTACCAAGGCTCGCATGGCCGCACAGCACCCTTGGACCGGATTCGAGGCCGGCCTCGGCCATGCACCGGTCGCTGGTGCACCAGTTGGGAGGGAAGTGAAGCCCACCGACCCTGAAATCTCGAGTGAAGTCCTCGTGGTTCTGTCTGACCATGTCGTCTTCCGTGTTCGGCGGGCGGCCATCCAGGGTACGTTTTGATCCTAAACCCCAGGGTGGCTCGACTCCGGATTGTCCAAGAGACCAAGCATATATCTAGCAGCTACACCAGCGGCAAAGGTTCGAAAGCACAAAACGTAAGTAACCAGGCAGCTAAGACTGCATGTACATATTTAGTATTATGTCATCATATGCCCCTGAGCCCGAAAAGGAACGGATATATCGCGAGCATCGAGCACGCACAAATCCTTGCTGAACATGGTTTAGCTTCAAGTGCAAAACGTCTACCTGATCTACATTTGATTCCCTACTTCGGTCCCAAAACCACCCGCACCAAGCCCCAAGAACCACACAGCACCCAGCAAGGCACCCCATGGACCCAAGCCTCCCAGCCGCCCTCTTGGAGCGATGCCCGGGGTCGATGGCCCAAACGCTGCCGGGGAGCGATGCAAAGCACGGGCCCCGCCGGCAGCGCCGGCTGCTGGTGCTTCAGGCCGCCCAAGCCATCGAAGATGCAAATGCTGCCATCAGCGTAGACCACAATCCTGAAGGGGTGGAGCGATGCACCAGGACCCAGACTTGACAGGTCTCCGAAATGGTGGCTTTTGCAGACTTAACAAGTCGCAGGTGGTGACCTGTTGGAGGGTGCTGGCAGAGGGGGTTGAGAACAGATGGACACCTGACTTTTCAATTAAATCACATCGTGAAATCTTTCCACAGGACAGTTGGCACAAATAACGACCAGGTGACGTTCAGGAGGTTGTCTGAGTCATGTGGCCAGAAGATCCTCCATATGATTAGATGATTAGAGTTATGGAGGAGGTTGAACAAGACTGCTTCAAACGCTTGATTGAGGGCTTTTCTGATTAGACTTTTTCAAACGCTTGATGGAGGCCCCTAAGGGGCCTGGGACAAATCAACACAAGTCCATACGTCTGCCTCCCAACGTTTCCCAACGGTCTGTCTCTCCATCTCGGGCTCGCTCGCAGCCCTGGTGGGGCTGCGAGCAGCACCGACGAGCCAGGACACATGTGCCCTTCAAACTGCAAGAGGCCTGGAACCGATGGGGGCCAGTTTCCGGAGCCTGTAGGCTGGAGTGGAGGCCGTGGAGGCCAATGGTGGCCTCTCCCGGTGCCAGTAGTTATGGAGTTGTGAGTGAAAGCTTCCGAGCACAAGACGGGAGGATGCCCCACAAGTTATAAGATTGAAGATTGCTGAAGCGCACTTGCTAACACGACGGGTTTTGCAAAAACCCCAAAAAAAAGAATTAAGCGCCACCGATGTGCCTCAAGCTCAACGTGCGTTGCCCAAGGTACAAGATACCTCCATCCCCTGCCCACCAACCCAGCAAGGTGCACAACATCATTCGCCTGCAACGAACTTGCGAGGGTTCAACTGCTTCACCACCTTCAGTGTGGCCAGCTCAACCTCAGGAGGGTGGAGGGACAACTAGCTTGGAAGATGATTTGAAACCTTGGCTTTTGCCATCCGTAGGCCTCATGGCACGCAGTGGGCAGTGGGGGTGAAGGTCCCGGTGAAGCAAGTCCCCCACTCCCCGCCTCTTGAGGCCCTGACCCCGCTGCTGAAGCTACTACTGCTGCTGACTGCTAGCTGCTACACTGCTACACGTGGTGAATCGAAGGTCTTTTCAGCGGAGTACAGGTGAAAAAAAAGAAGAAAAACGCGCCGTGGTGCCCCTGCATGGTCTTCCTAATCCCAACTGGCCCTACTGCTTGGACAGTGCGGGATTTCTTCCATCAGTTCCTCCATCTGGGAAGTCTGAGTAGCTTCCTACTCGCCTGAACCGGTGCTTGGACTCCTGCGCTGGAGTGGCCCGTTTCTAAGAGCAATGTCAACTGCCCCACGATACAAAACCCAACTTTTTGCCCCTGCAACGAAGTCAATGTAGACACCCTTCAAAGCGGCCCTTGGACCCCCACGCCATATCCAAACGAAACCAAGAAAAGGAGGCACTACAGTGCCACGCCATATCCACGCACCCCAGCCATCTCACCCACTCCTCCCACACACAGCCCCTTGAGCTCAGACAAAGAAAGCCATGTTCGCCAACCAAAGCAAACCACATCTCCCTATCCTTACTGGAATGATCCTGCCACACGCGCCGGAATTCAGTACATGCCCAAGCGAGGGGCCAAGGCCAAGCCTGAGCTGCCACCCACCCACAAGCCCTCGCCGAGCACCGCCAGCGCGGTCACGCTGCCCGAGATGCCCTCGGAGATCCCATGCGTGCCTTCGCTGCCAAAATCCCATGAGGTCGTGGCGTCGAAGCGTCGGCTTCGGCGCACGTCCACCCCGCCGAGGGGGGCGTCGGTGTGTTGGGGGGTCGCCTCCGGCGTTTAGGAGAAGGACGGGGGAAGGAGTGCGGACGTCAAGACTCCGCATTTGGAGGTGCGAAAGCCCGAGGTGCCCAGTAGGGAAGGTGGCAGAGGAGGGGGTGGATCATCGATCCGCCGCCCCGGGCTTCAAACAGAGTGGCCAGAAGTGCCAAGGGCTTCATTGGTCTTGATCCCTTCGGGCTTTCTGAAACCAGGTGCGCACTCCACTCGTTCGCCCATGGGTCTGTACAGTACACCCCTGAAAAACGAACCGACGAGCGTCATTCAAATGTCGTGGTGTGGGGGTTCATTTGCCAGCATCTCACCGCGCCGTCCGATGCGCCGGACAAGAGCACGTGCTGATGGGTCATCAAACCTCGGCGTTGAGCGACGGCTTATGGGAAGGTGGTGACCATCCGGGGGTGCTGATTTTTCGGCTTGACTCGGGGCTATAAAGCAAAGGCACATGTCACATTCTTTGAAAGAAGGCACCGGCCCATCCAGCAGAAACTTGTACTGGCTTTTGGCTCGCAAAAGCTAAAAAGCTTGGCGTGTCCCCCGAAAGTGTGATTTGGGAGGGGGGATAAGGCTATAGGCGCTGACGTATCTCAATGTATTTCAAGCTGGTGCAGATTGGTGCAGTCTGCCTGGGTGATTGATCGCCAGGTGCCACATCTAAACTTGAAACTGTTCATCCTGGAAACTGGTGGTTCGAATTTTGATGTGTTCGGGTCTCTTGTTTTCCCCTCGCTGGCATCCCAAAAAAGGCTCCACCGTGGGCCAAACATCGTGGAATCTTCAGCTCCTTAAAATCCATTGTAGAGAAAAAATATCACGCCATGAAATATAAATGAAAATAAGAGATGATAAGGCACAGATGAACCGACCAACACACCATACCCTGCTCGTGGACTACCCCTCCTTCCTCAGAAGTGTTCAAAGCCAATCCAAACCTCAGAAAGTCCAACAGCGGCCCAAACAAATGCGGCTCCAATGGGTCACCGTGTTTCTCGTTCCTTTTGGGGTCATTGGCATAGGGGAGGGGGCAACCGAACACCGGATGGCTCCGCGCCACAGGAGACCCGCTTCTGGTGGCCGCTCAGCACCGTCTGCTGTCCCGACTTCATGAAGCCCTGCGGGAGACCCCGTTGGTGGGCTAGAGGCAGCTGCCATCCGCCATCAGTTTCTATTCTGGAGGCCGGTCGTGCACCCCACATGAAAAACAAAAAACGGCCGCAAGCTTTGGCCCAACCATCAGGGGGAAAGCATGAGAACGCAAAGAATGGAAGAAGGAACTCTCTCTGACTCTCTGCTGTGAGTTTGCGTGTTTCGCAGGTGGCTTGTTTCCGGGGTATGTTCTAGTGGTACTAGTTTTCAAGTCGCACAAACGCGGTTGCTTTCTCGGCCGACGGATCGCCTTGATGTTGCCATCGCCCAGGCCACAGAAGAGCCAGTCTCCAGCACTGATAAGGCACCAACAGACCTCGCCCAAAGGCACCTCTAACCTGAGCCGAGAAGCAAAAAGACACAAAATCCACTTTGGCATTTGGAAGCTGAGAAGTGGGGGATGCGTGGCCACCAACGTACAAAAAAATGCCTTGGCTCTGGAAGCAGCAAGAAGCAAGCTCAAACCACGGTCCTCATGAATTAAGACCTTCCTATATCGACATGCTCATGGGCAACGCACATTGCTTTGCTGAATCATTCAATCGCACTTAACCATCTGAAGAAGTGCCTAGTCTCTAGACTCTAGACAGTTCATGCGCAGCAGGCGTCGTCAGCAAAGTCACCAAAGGAACAAAGACAAAAGACCAAAAGAAGACTGGGCCCAAGCATCATTGGCCTGGGCTTTCACCTTGACCCAACTCCGACAAAAGTTGCAAGTAGTAACAAAGCCAAATCTGCCCCACAACCTGATGGACATATCACATATAGGACATATCAGAACCTGGGCATCGATAGGAACTCCCCACTTAAGGTTTGTATATACATGTTTGTGCGATCTGAGTCTCCCTCAATGGTTGCCTTGAGAAAGACCGCCCGAATTCCTGAACTGCTTGACGACTGGACCACTACCCACCCCACCACCGCCGCGCATTGCGCGCGTTGCCCAGGTCGCTCCGGTTGGAGCTCGAACTTCCCGGAGGCGCCGACGTTCACCTTCCACCTCACAGGGGGCCAAGACCCCACCTCACCTGAAATAAATTCTCCTAGTATATCTATCTATCTATTTATTTCTCTACATATTATATTCATTTATTTATCTATCATTATCTATCTGTGTGTGTGCGTCAGTTTTCTCATGTTTTCTCTCATCTCCATCTCCGTCTCCAAAACCAATCTCACTCCGCCTCTTCAAAGTCTTATCCCGCGAAGCGGTGTAGATGCAGTCGGCCGCCATGACCACCGACATCACCGCGTCCTTGTGCGCCCCCGTGATCTCCGAGTGCCGAAACATCCCATCCTCTCCTGAAGGCGTGGGAAGGCCCAGCAGGGACGAAGCCCGGGCAGAAGCAAGCCCACACGTCACCCGGGTGGGGTTGGGGATCCAAGGGGATCCAACCGGAACAAGACGAAGAAGACACCGGGCGTTCGGCGCTGCGGCGGCCACGAAGGGGGTCGAGAGTCGGGGGGGGAGTTCTGAATCAAGAGTCTGTCGGGACTGTTGATGGAATAGACTCAAGCTAATAGGATGACTATAGTGGCATGTGCTTGATGATCTTGATGTCAAGTGGTGGGAGATATTCCAGCCACTGGGTGGTGACCTGAGGTTCGCTGTTCATATGTCCAGGCTCTGCACTCTGCACGAGCAGACCAGGGCCTGACCAGAAAAAGAAGGTGACTCGGACCTCGACTCAGACATCTGATGTGTCTTTTCTTTTTCAGCTACCCCGGGCTAACCCATTCTGTATCATCAATCGGTCCATCTCACTTGCTGACAGGTTCACGCACCAGTAGCTACCCCATTAAAGCCTTACGTTTGCTTTTTTGCTGACCCATATTCCCCGCTTAAAAAGCTTCTTATTGTATACTAGTAGCGATGCCCCTTGCTCCTAGTAGCATCCTTGCTCCTAGTAAGGCCAGGAGCCCCGTTCGTGGCGTCCGATCGCTCCTACTGTACCACCTGGGCCAAGCCACTCACCTCAGTCTGCACAGAGTTGGGCACTGCCGCCCCCCCGCGGATCCCGCGGATCCCGCCGCCCGCTGCGCTTCTCCGCGTTCCGCCGCGCCGCGGAACGCGTGGGGGGGCTGGTCTTGTTGCGGGCGGGTCCTGCGGTACAATGTGCCGGACCAAGGGCAGTGCATCACAGCAAGGAGCTGATGGGGGAGAAGGGGCTTGCAAAAAAATCAGCTGAGAAAATACCTTCGAATATGCCAGCCAGGTGCAAGAGAACCAAGCTGCCAGCCCTGTCCTTTGGGCTTGTAACTTTTCTTCCTCACAACGCCTGCAAGCAAGCAACAGGCCCTCGACAATCAGGCACCTGGTTTGTCTCAGGCATAAGTTGTTCTACGCTGCTGCGCTGTGCGTACGTAGTACATCTCCGAACACATCCATGGGGAGGTGACTGAACAAAGAACAAGGCTCGCTCGACTCGTTTGAGTAACCTGGCCCCGAGTCTTGTTGAGAAGTATAGAGTATATACACTCCCTGGAACTAACATGGAAGTGGAGAATGGCCCCGAAAGGAAGACCATGAAATCCACTACAAACAGTTGGTGAACTCCACTTCCATGTTACTTTCCAGGGAGAGTACTTGCGGCATGAAGGTAATGAGGAAAACCACTCCGTTCCCTGCCTGGCCCCTGTTGCGGATCGCCCCTTCCTCTGCCTCGGCCTCGGCAGAAAGACCGACGCAGGCGCAACTATATAACTACCAGGTTGGGACCGGATGATCTGCTTCTGAGATCCTTCTATGGCATAGAATCTACAAACCAGAGACCAATGCACAGTGAAAATGCTCCTGGCCTTGGTTTCCTCGACCTTGGCCTCCTCTGCCTTGGCTTCCTCGTCCTTGGTCGCCAGCGCCTCTTCTCCGATTGCGCGCCGGCATGACAGCGTATCAGTCGATTTGAAGTGGAGGACAACTGTGTTCTTTGCCCTGGCTAGCGGGAGAATCTTAGATAGTATGCTGGTGGGACATGACGGTGTGGGTCAATTCACCGGCATGCCTGGTGAAGAGCAAAAAAGCTTGGCTTGTGGATATTCCTTCACCAAAGATGGACCAAAAGAATCCAAAAGATCTTGATTCTTGATGCTCTCACTGTGTCAGTTTCAATTGCTTCTCTGCCTCGGGTTAGGATGCTGTCAGTGCTATGACCTATCACATAGTAGGATCGATGCGCAGGAAAAAGGAAGCTGCTTGTTTAGTGGCATGAAACTTCCAAAAAAAACAGCTTCGGGCCAGGGATGGCGGCGTAGCTGAGAAAAATTAAAGTGAGCTACATGACCTACAACAGGAAACACTGCACAACATCATGTTCATGTAGCCACATGACGCCCAGCAGCATTGGGACTGCGCTCTCTGAGATCATCCTTCATCCTACTGGTTCCAAACTTCGTTCTTCGCCCATCATGGCCCGGGCATGGCCCGAGAAACCACTGCACTCCCAGTAGAACACGCTGATTCGGTAGTGATCTCCGAAACATCCTCCACACTGACTTGACACTGATTTGAATGTAATACATCGCCCAAATCTCATCGATAAGGCCTAAGAAGTACAGGACCCGTTCGGTCGATTCCTTTCAGCTCCTGCACGCGCTGGCTTTGTTTAGCGCAACCACTGGGGTGTTTGAGCTCGCTCGGCTCGGTGAGCTATTTGGGTGAAACTCTCTGACTCCACTGGCGGCACTGTGCACAGCACCATCACCGGCTGTTCGGCTGTCCGGCCCACTGGCTCACCCGGCGGCAAGGGGCGGCAAGGGGCGAAGCGAGTGTCGGGAGCTGCTCACTGCTGGCCCAAGGCCTTGGCGGATTTCTCCAAGCTGTCCAGCTGCACCTCTCCAAGCTGTCCAGCGAAGGACAAAGCCACGTGTCATGGGCATGTTTTTCAGTATTGCTGATGTTCTTTGGGTGCAAAACCGCAAGAAAACCACCACACATGGTAGAACTACAAGTGCTGCGGACAGTTCCGCAGGTCGCTGAGAGAAACCGAGAGAGAGAGAGAGAGTCCAGCGGATGAGTGCAGCGTGGTTAGCCAAAAGGCCACGCTAAAGGGGAAAAAGGTAAAAATAGACATCCCCTGACCCTGAAAACCATGTAAAGCTCCCAATCGTTTGCCCATGTCCTGTGAGGGTCAAGAATGCATTCTGCTGTCTAAAGCATTGAGTAGGAGCAGGAGTAGGAGCAGGAGCTGTTATAAAATGCATCGCTAGGGAAGCCCACATTCTGGCTATGCCTATGCCTATACCTATGGTGTCCTATGCCTATACCCAGTGTGTCTAGGGCTTTGCCTATGCCTATGCCGGCGATCGATGCGATTTGGTGCGACGGTGCGACGGAGACCAAACGCCTTCTGCTGGTCGTTGAGCTTGGACTTCTGTTCCTCTGAAAGCTCCTGGCCTGTCAGACGGAGCTCAGTTTGAGCAGGGGATCCACACAGAAAGGGAGGCAGCCGGGAGGCATGTGGAAGTAGGCCGACTTTCAGGGCAAAAGCGGTTTTGGGATGTGGGACTTTCAATACCGTTTCATCCCCCAAACTTGAGGCCCATAGGTCTCGTCTGGGACTTGAAGGCTTCTGCAAAAATGAGACTGCACGAACATGAGTCCCCCAAACTGAGACTGGGGATGTTTCCCACCAACTGGTCATGTCACGAAGGTATGTACACATCCAACCTTCCGGTCAACACTCTCCAGATGAGCAGAGTTGCCCAATGCTTGGCGACCTTAAGCCCTGCTTGGAGACCGCCCTCCAGAACCTGGACCTCCGGCTGCCCGGAACTCGGACCACCCTGGACGAAACCGGCTGGCCTGTCACTGTGGCTTGGGAGCTCACCATGTCCTCGAGTCGAGTGGGACAGAGATGGAAACCAATTCCGGTTTTGGACGGAGTGTCATGGGTGTTGACTGTGAGCACCATCGCGACTCACTTCGAAACGCAGTCTTCAAGCGTTAAACAATCTGGTGCCCACGCAATGGCAGCCCCAACGATTAGCAGCTTTTGAGGGATGTTCACAGCCTTCTGCAGGAAGCACAAGGCCTGAGTTGGTGGTCTCAAGAACATCACTACCCATATACCATGCCATTGGCCCTTCGGTCTCAAGGGTTTTAGAGCACTCTGGCATTCATCACCGAAACAAAAGCCGTGCAAAATCTAAACCCTGGGTGTCCAATCTGCCCATCCAAACATCCGGACTTGGGGCTCTGCATGCTCTGCCAAGAGGCCACATAAGCTCTCCATTCCTTGAGGAACATCTGTTTATGTGCCTCCTGCACCTGTGCGCCAATCGCCCGGTTAGTGTGTGCCACCGCACCACCAAATCACCAGCATGGCCCCAAGACCTGACACCACCTGGGTCCTCAAGACCTGTTCAGTCGTCTTTGATCGAAGTATGGCCGGAAGTCCACACCGATGTGGCCTCCGAATGACTGGTCCCCTAGCTCACCTGCGGCTTGGCGTGGAGCCGGAACTCCTTCCGCGCGTAGGTGTCGCCGAGGCTGCGCATCGCCGGGTCCAGCTTGACCCGGTGAAGCCTCATGATGGTCCTGCAAAAGAGAAAACGTGGAGTGAGGTGAGAGTGACTGGGAATGATAGAGAGGCTGATGCCGGGAACCATTCATGCGTATCTATCTACCAATTCATGTCTGTCTATCTATCTATATCTATCTATATCTATCCTATCTATATCTATACCTATACCTATATCTATCTCTATCTCTCTCTCTCTCTCTATCTATCTATCTATCTATCTATCTATCTATCTCTATCTACCGTCATACTGATGACCCGCAGGGCACTGATGACCCGTTCAATCGTAAAAGGCCATCTAAAAAGCACAGGTCAGCACTGAGTCAGCACCCAAAAGAAGTTCGGCCCGTGTGGAGACCCGAGAAGGAGATCATCGGTGGTGGTTGTGTGCAGAGCCCCCATGGTTTTGCGGCAGGTTGAGTCGGGTTGAGATATTTACACGTGTATATAGAGGTGTATTGCCTGTGCAGTACATGAATTTATAGAGGATTCCGCGTTCGGACTTCCACCAATGGAGAATAGGAGGTATCTATTGCAGTTGCCGGTGCATCATGGTGCATCTATCGAGTACCGATGCTGGGTGGCCCCCTATCGGTTCTCCAAATTTGGCATACAGTAGGACAGGGTAGGACCACTTCTTCACGGCCAGATTACACTGTCGGATGACACCAGGGGCAGCCATGAAAACCCTACAGGTTCCCATCGTGGAACCGCCATCTCTGAAGACAACCCACGCTCCGGTCCGGAAGAGGCTCTTGCTCTCGCCCACCAGCGACATGGCGCCTTGGATATCCAACCAGGCGCCACCAATTCGACACCCAAACGTCAGTGGCACAAAAGCGGGGCCGCATGGACAACAAATGGCCTGAGAGATCTAAGAGGAAGAACTTATAGGCATTTAGCACTGAGTCTACGAGGCATGGACGACGTAGTGACGTTAGATTTGGAGGACCCCTTTTGGGGGCTCTGCACCACCGGAGCCTGTTCAGGCCTGACCCTTCCGACTCTTCCAACTCATCGACCCTGAGAATGGACCCAATCGAAAAGCATTTTCCTCTACCAGCACCCTCCAACAGGTCGATAGTTGAGGGTTGTTGGGCTGTTAACAGGTCTCAATTGGTGACCTGTCGGAGGTCCTGGTGCCACACGATGATGTTGGGGGTCGGTGTTGGGGGTGTGGAGGTCCCGGTGCCCGGGAAAACCACGGTGGAACTGGACCCACCCGTCGGTCGGTGCGGGCCGTCTGCCTGCCACGCCAAGCTGCCCGCAGAACAAGCTGCGCCGAAAAATGGCCCCCGGTAGGTGGGGACAAAAAGATCACACACGGCGTTGAGCCGAGACGCTCCAGTGGATGCCATGGGTTCCCACTTTTTTTTTGAGGACCCGGACCCAGTTCTAGATTTCAAGGCCATGATCACTCGCTTCAAGTAGCAACTATGATTTGTCCAAGACTCTACACATGCTCGTGCTCATCTCCTTGGCAGGAAAAGCGAGTTCCAAGTTGTGACATGTTGTGATAGCTTTCTCTGCAAGTTTGGTTTCTCCGGCTTCGCCCGGCATCGATTCGCCCACCAACTGAGCTGTTGGCATTGGCCAAGCCTTGCGGGCTGAGTTCGGGCAGCGCCACATGGACACGGTCAAGTAAGCTCGCAAAGCACCTGCCAGGCTTCGGAAAGACCAGAAAGTCCAATTGCTGGGACAAGGTCTGGTGAGGCCATTGCTTGAGGGAGGTGCGCCCGATTTCGCGCCCCCCCAAGGGTGGATGTCGCTGCGCGTGCCGCACGCCGCGTACAAGCCGCGAGGACCCGGCAGCGAAAAGCCGCAGAGCCACCGGCAGCGCTGAATCGCCCGTGCAGACCCTTTTGCTTCTTCCAGCTCCTGCCTATGCAAACAGGCCGGGGGCGGCCCTGTTAGGCCGGCGGCTGTTCGGGAGTCCTTTCACCCGTGAAGCACCATGTGCGTGCCGCGGTGTGTCGCGAGCACCCTTCTTGGGACTTCGGAAGCTCAGCCTTCTTGGCAAGGACTCCTTCGGGCCATTTTCTGGGGCAAGGAATGACCGTGTAGCTGGCAGCCCCTCAGCAACCCCATCTTGGCGCCGGCTTCCCTTCTTGAAGGAAACGCACGATTCACCAAAGTAGTTCAACAAGCCCACTGGAACTATGTGCTAAGATGTGATAAGGAACCTTATGCCTGGTTGTAGTATGGGTTCTTCCAAAACGCGCCGAAACGGCAAAGGCTCCGAACGCGGCCATTGCCGTGGAAGATGGCGAGGCTGGGACCGTCCTCTCCCTTAAACCAAGTCCGACCTGCAAACGTCTAAAAGCTTTGGGACCACGGATCTTTATCGAAGACTGGACATCGGGAGTTGCTCAGAGCCCTTGCTTAAAGCCAGTTTGGCTTCCACAAGGCTCAGCATGTGCCAGCCACAATGCTCGAGCTATCAAGCACCCCAGCACGCATACATGTCAAGACTTTGTCTTTGTATCTCACTGAGGGCGCATCTGGCTGAAGCTTGGGCAAATCACCCAAGACAACCACGGTGGGCGGGTCTTCCTAAGGAAACGCACAGTCACTACACCCAACCGAGATGAACGAAAGATTACAAGTCTGCACTTGAGGTTTGAAGGATTTGAAGGCCACCAACATCGGTTTTCTCACAGGCCTTGGCCACTCTGGGTCGGCTAAAGGATTGAAAAACTGTGGCTTCGGCTTCGGCGCTGCTCACGTGTACATGGGAGCCAAAAGAAATAGCTCCGCAAATCTGAAAAGAGCTGGTCTGCCTGCAGAGTGGGAGTGGCTGTCAGGGCAAGCCAGTGTTAGGAGTCCAGGGGCAAACCCTCCAATCTTCGATGAACTGGATGTGTCCTTCTTCTTCCGGCTGGGAGTTTGACAGCTCGCCGGTCGTCACTCCTTTCCTCAGACCGTTTGTCAAAGATTGGACCCGTATGAGCTTACGTGCCACTGACCACTAATGTGGCCCTCAGATTTATAAACCCCCCTAGAATTATGTCTTTTTTTTTCCCTGCACTGATTTATAAAGGCCCCTAGAATAATGTCTTTTTTTTTTGGAGGGGTAGTTGTAGTGGATGTTTTTTAAATTGTTATAGTTTACTTTTTCCCTTTTGAATTTGCTGGGATTTGCTTATCTTACAGGCTTTTGGATTGAGATTTCTATTAAACATTTGGAGATTTCCATTGAGATTTGATTCTTTTGGAGGCTTTTGGATGGAGATTTCTATTCAAAAAATGAGATTTCCATTGAGATTTGATGCTTTTGGATGCTTTTGGATCCCTTATTTAAAAGTATTAAAAAACAAAAAAAATCATTCAAGCAAAGGGGGTAGTCCAGCAAGCAGCTTTCTGACATTATTTAGGGGGGGCCCCTAGAATAATGTCTAGAGATTTGAGGCTTTAAATCTTTATTCCTTTTCTTTGCCTTTTGATTTGCTTTACTCACCCTCTATTCCTTATTTACTTTTCCTAAGCTCTTTAGTTGTAGATTTCCATTGAGGTTTGATGCTTTAGGAGGCTTTTGGATGGAGATTTCTATTAAAACTTTGTAGATTTCCATTGAGATTTGATGCTTTTGGAGGCTTTTGGATGGAGATTTCTATTAGAAAAGTTGAGATTTCCATTGAGATTTGATGCTTTTGGAGGCTTTTGGATGGAGATTTCTATTAAGAAATTTGAGATGTCCTTTTAATTTAATATTGCCAGAGGTCTTCAAACTTAGGAATTGTTATTTCCTTTTAATTTAATATTGCCAGAGGTCTTCAAAGTTAGGAATTCTTATTTCCTTTTAATTTAATATTGCGAGAGTAGCTCCAGAGGTAGCTAGCTAAGGATTCCTTATTTAATTTTCAACTGATTGATTTTCATATACATTATTTTGGAGGCCTTGGTTGTTGAGGGGGGGAGGGTTTATAAATCAAGGGACTACATTAGCTTGGTTGCGCCCATTCGTGGTTTGTGGGGACCATGCTTTTGTTCGGACCGGGAAGGACCGTAGCACCTACCTCCGCCAGAGCACCTCGTGAGCACCTCGTGAGCACCTCGTGGCCCCGGTTTTCCAGCGCAACCTGCCCCTCCGTCGCCTCAAGGCCAAAACCATGAGGGAGCGAAGATAGGCTTCGTCTTACCTGGGGACGGGAAGAGGCGTCCGTGATGTTTCCGCGCACACCCAAAGGGGGTGAATCAAAGGGCCTAATAGGACTCAATACGTGAAAACTGGAACAAGGAGGGAGCAATAAAATTATATATACATAACAGGAGTCACAAGGGTGCCTATTAGAGGATAGGGGTGCCCATTATCCACTCACTTATGCTCCTGGTATATAGTGGCACGTTGTTTGACATGCTTGACTCGACGAATAGAACACGATCATGTCACTGACGCGTCTTTCTCATCAGTGACGCACCGAAACACCTCCAGGCCAGGACCTTCACAGTCAACTCGTGCTCTGCATTCCTGACCTGCACCGTTCATGGCACGAAGACGGGTGATGGGCGAAAGGAAGGCGACGTTTCGCGGCAGGGCTTTTTAAAGGTCAGAATGAAGTGATGAAAGCGACTCCACCAACTCCACCACGTCAGCCCTTTACAAGGCGCTTTTACTTCGGCCCTTCGTCTCCTTCACCGGAGAACGGGTGGTTCCCTCCGTTCCCTCCCTCCACGGGTGGCCTTGTCCATCAAGACAGCCCCAGAACCTTCAAAGCCATCCACCCCGATAATGCGGTCAGAGGAGAGGATCTGCTGCCTGTGGCAGATTTGATGCTCATGCTGGTGACGAATCACAGCACCCACCCACCAAACGCAGCTGGTGCAAAGGAGGTGGCACAAAAGCAATTGCCAAAGAGCTTTTGAAGGGTATTGCGACTGGCTCAAACATTGGCACCTTCTACCAGCCTAGTGCTTCCAAAACGCCGGCTTCTTTGGAAACCCCTAAATTGGTGGAAGATCAAGTGATGCCGCCAAGTGTAAAAGTACTAGGACTGATGGCACAGAAAAAGGATGTGTCAGACTCCACTCGGCTAGGTGAACCTGACTGCCAAGTCACTGGATGGCAGCAGAGGTGTTGTAGTCCTACACATGACGACCGAACTCCCATGTGGCAGTTCGCCATGCAAAGGTATATATTTAAATATACTGTAAGCCATTGCAAGCCTCACGAAGAATCATCCTGAAGGTTGACTTCCGGAGAGAAGAGAGGAAAACAACTAAAAACTGTCCTTGACGACACCATCTTCCACTCCCAAGACTAGGAGGAAATGTGGTCCATCTTTGAGATGAACCCCCAAGCTCTTCCCATTGCGCCGCAGCTTCACCTGCACAACGGACGCGTTGGACGCGTTTTGCGGTCGCGCTATGCCGCTAGTTCGCGGAACCCGCAGGAATAGAGCCATCACTGGCGGGTAGGGGGCCGATGGATACAGCAAGGCAGCACACCATCACAAGGCCAACAGGATCCACAGAACCGTGCCACGCTTGCTCCCAGAAACTGGCCCCAAAACCCCCCAAAAAAAAGCAGCACGTAGCAGCCATAGCAGGGCTCCTTTCTGAAAACGGATCAAACTACCAGCTGTACTGAAAGCACACTGCTTCTCATACTTCCCTTTTTGTTGACCCATTGCCTGTTTGAATCATGACTGGGCCGATCCATTTCCCGGGCAGAAATGGCCTCGTTGACCCTTGCACGTTGGAAGGTGAGGACCATGTGATCGTGCGTCGACTTCAGCAAGTCCAAGACTTCCTCCGGCACATTTTTCGCAGGATTCCATGGCTATGAGGTGAGTCTCCAGACCCATGTCCCCGGTGGCCGGTGGCCATCTCACCCAATCATCGTGAACGTGATGCGTCACCATATGTCACCAAGAGATCCCGAGAGAACAGGCATGACGTGACATGTTGGAATGCTTTGGAGGACTCTTCGTGGGTTGGCATAAGCCCACTCTGCCTAAAGCGGCAGGCTTAGCGCCCAGAAGCCTCACTTGAGACCCCGTTAAGGCACCAAAAGCTTCACCCGCTTCATGCAGCCCCCCTGAAACAGGCCAGCTGTCCTTGCTCTTCTCGCTGGTGTGGCCGTTGACCGCCACCAAGCGATCAAACTTCCGCACCTGTCGCGGGGCGACGCCGCCATGATCAGCCCGCCGGTGGCACAACCCGGCGGCAGGAAGCTCAGCGCAGAGCTCAAGCCAGAACGATTCACCGGCTCCAATGTAGAAGGACTTGTTCGTTTTCGGGGCTATGTGTTTTTTAAGGAACATAGACCTGAAAATATGAAAATGAAAAAGTCCTGCAACATTGGAGCCATCAGAAACTGAGTCCGGATGTCCTTCCGTTCCTTTTGTTGAAGTTGGATTGGACCCAAATCCAAACAACCGACCGCAGGATCCATGATTTCCAACAAGGTGGCCTTTGGACCCGTGGATCGTGCACTGAGCTTCCAAATCCTATCCCAACACCCGCTCCACTTGCTCCAGGTCGGTCCGCGATCCACTCCACCCAGTGCTCCGCGGACCCCGCCTGCTGCTCCACTGCGGCCGTCTTGTTCCAGTCGGCAATGAGGCCGTCATCCGTCACCGTCGTGACCACACAGGCCTCGTCGGTGGGAGACCAGTCTAGCTGCTTTTGCTTTCAGGTCTACACCAACCCCGCCCGGTGGCTGGAGGAATTGGAGGGCTATCCAAGCCGAGAAATGTTGTCCAGGTTCCATGTCAGTCCTCTAGTATGGAAGGTGCTTATTGTAGTGGTGCTCATTATGTGAGAAATACCGTACAATCCAATCTGAAGCATTTGCCCCTTACAATCAGCGTCCGGAAGATGGTGTTTCCTCCCTTTTTTTTCGTCCTCGCCTTGCCTGGCCGAACCGAACCGTCCCCTTGGCGCGTGGTGAGCCGCGCGTCGCGGTTGGGCGAAGGCACCTTCTCAGCACTGGAGAGATCGACCCCGAAGTAGGTTCCTGGCTTCCGCTCAATGTTCACTTCCTCGGTGCGTGCGCGTTCCCAAGAAAGTGGAAGACGAAGCAGGTCCTCACAGCCCCCACGGTCACACAAGCACCCATCGTAGGATTGGCCCAAGACATGCCCCGGAATGTATTCAATTCGTTCAAAGTCATCGGCATTGCCTGCCTCCTCCCCAATTGGGCCAAACGGATGCTTATCCCGACTCCTTCCCCGCACCTACACACCATGCCCGAAACGGGCCGGGAAGAAACCTTCAAATCCCAGCCGCGAACATGGAGTCGCCCACCTCGGCATCCGTGCTCCAGCGAACGAAGCTCCGGCGATGGGAAAATTCCAGAGGTTCCGGAAACTGAGAGGACCAAAAACCCAGATACACCTGGACACACCCCCTGAAATGCTTACATGTATGGCAGGGCCATGAGTTCGGATGACCAGGAAATCCTAATACCAAACAGGTGGTAAACTCCAGTTCGATGATGATGTCGGGGAGTGTATGCATGTTCTTCCATCCCAGGATCTCGGAAGCACGTCCATGTGAGCAACTGCCAGGAACATCTGAACATCAAAAGCACCAAATGAGTCCATCGTCGTTACTTGAATCATGAAGGCCAGTCAACTTCTGATTTGCATCTTTTCGTTCAATACCGTCGGCGGACCCAAATAAAGCACCCATGATGAGGTTCAAAGCCACCCCCCCACCCCCCCCCCCCCGTCTCCGAGTCCTCTTCTTGGTGAACGCGGCCCAAACGCCACCCCCGTGCCTCCTTGCCGCCCCTCGCGGGGAAGGCGGTGTCCGTTTGGAGCTCCGCGAAGGCCTCCGGCCTGCGGAACTCGGGAAGCGAGGCGCCGCGCGCCCCGCGCCTTCGAACGGTGAAGGTGATGGAGGCGAAAAGGAGCAAGAAATTGAATAAATATAATACTAATAGCTTTTTGTTACTACTAGTAAGGCACTTGTTACTACTAGCGTGGCACTTGTTACAAGAAGTTCAGAATTCAACCCACATCAACCCCACCTTTCTTTTTTCGTCCCTCCCTTGGAATGGTCGTGGTGACGTCGAGTTCACCACCTGTTCGTAGGGGAAAATGGTCTTCCAAGGGGCCATGCTTCAGGGAGTGTACAAGTCATGACCATCATGACCTCCCAAATGTAGAACTTCGAGGCATCTGGCAGAAAATCTGTTCAAAGCGACCACTCACTGCAAAGAATTCACCCCCGACTCCTTCATTTGACATGACCCTCAGGACCCACCTCAACCCCGTCCACCTCTCTGAGTGGCGTCTCAACCCCGAGACGTCCCGAGACGTCCACATCACCGAGGGGCTTCTCATCCACACAGCAGCAGGCGAACATCTCGACTCCGCGCAGAGTTCTTCGCGAACTCTCCGAGGTGCCCGGGAGCGACTGGAGGTGCCGGCACGACGTGAAGAGCCAAGAGGGCGCGCCACACGAGAGGTTCGACACCTGTGAAAACACTGGGGAGGTGGACATGAGGAGTGGCTGGATTTGACCAAGCAGACTTGCCTCGAGTTGGGATAGCAGGGCAAAGATCCTTAAGGGTCAAGGGAGATGGTGAATATGCATATATATAGAGAGAGAGAGATTGGACTTTGAACAATGTGCTATACAGGCTCAATGGACTTTATGTGCATTGCTCGGGCCAAGTCTAAGTGAGGGAGCTTGTGCAACGACTGTATGCAACCCCCCCGTGCCACCCGCGAACGACGATGGCATCGGAGGTGCGACCTCCTTTTCCGGGCCGCGCGGGACCTCCTTTTTCTCGAAGAGCAACCCTCTTCACGTCGCACCGCCTCGCCGACAGTTCCTCCTTGGGAGGTCGTCCCAATCACACCGCAAAAGCGCCAGGGCCAGGCACCAGCACAACCTGAATGATGAATGTCCCACTTCTCTAACCCAAACATCCACGTGCAACGTGCTGCTCCCAAACCCCCCCGGCAAAATCCAGCTTTGAACGAACTTCCACACATGCCAGTTCACGCGGCCGCGCTGGCGCGCCCCGAAGGCAACCAAGCGAGTCGAAAAACCGGTCACCAACGCCATCCCCTTCGCATCACCTGAGCACCGCCATCACCTGAAGTCGGCGACCCGGCGACCTGGTGGGACGAACCACCGTCTGGGTGCGTCCCGGTGGATGAAAGGGTGTCTATTGATAGCCCTGTACTGGTCAAGGGGTGTTCATTTACGACCGGAGATCCTGGTATAGACTCTATGATATGTATTGATATGTGAGATATACATACAGTATACTTCACATATCAACTGTAGTTGCATTTCTGCCTTGGACAACCAAGTCCTGGATGTGCGATGCTGGGCCCCTCTTCTCACGCCTCCAAACGGCCACCTTCAGCGTCAACTCCTTCTCTGCATTGATCACCTGCCAAAACCCTTGAAACCACGGAGGCTTTGGCCCCGTGGTTTCGGGGGTCTCCAGGTCACACCCTGCCACCTGCGCCAGTTCCAGGTCCCCCCCACCTTGTCCATCAGCGTACGGCCGGCCCCTTCGAGGTCGCTGACGCCGATGATCCAATCAGCGGGTTGAATCTGTCGCCTGCACCACAGATTAAAGTTCCATGTGAGTTGGGGCTTAGCCTGGCATCATACTGTGAAATGATCTCGACTCGCGCGTGTTGGACAGATTCTCCCGGTGGATTGTGGAGCGGTTTCGAGGAAGAGATGCCCCCGCCCTGGTTCGGAGACGTTTTGATCATCTGCGGCCTGAGAGGTGCAACAGGATCTAGTCGAATCTATACAATAGAAGGTTTCGTGGGAACCTTGCACAGAAAGATGGAATGAACACCCATGTGCAATACCACTTCACATTTCAGTCCAAAAACTCTCACCTAATCCACCTGAAGACTGCACCCCTATCCTCCCATGATAGAGTTGTGGAGAACGGAGCTGTTACAGTTTAGGCCACCTTTGGGAGAAGCACTTGCCAATGGACCCCAATATGACCCAGGTAGCGGGACCCTAAAGGGGTGTGCGTTTCGTTTCTTGCGCTGCTTAGAGGTTAAGGCAACCACCGTGTAGGCGGCCCTGGTATATCACCGGGTGTTGAGGCCCTGGACGGACCGCGAGTTGAGGATCAACTGACTTTCTCGCCGTCGCAGGGCATGGTCTCGCCGCATCCAAACACCCACCCCACCCACCCCCGGGCACATGACAGGAGCCGTCGCGTTGTGCTCCTGAAAGCGCGGACGAGCAGTATAGACGTACGATCCTCGGATCGAGCATGGTCTAAAATCAACGGAGCTGGCACCCGACCTCCGTTTTGCGGCTGGTCCCAGGCTCTCTTCTTGGCTGACCCTAACAAGCTAGTGCTGAACTACAAGGTGCAATCCTGAATCACCCGCACTCATCGAGCCCACCTCCGTCAAGGAAAAAGGACAAAACAAATCGTCCTGCGCCGCGCCAGCGTCAATCACCGTGACCAACAGAAAGCCTGGCCCCTCTTTGAGCTGCAAGCCCGCTGCAGGGCTCGCACCATTGGAAGAGAGCTTCACCTCATAGCGACCCACTTCTCACAAGCTGCCCTTTTTCAAGGGTGGCAAGGTGGCATGAAGCTCGCCAAACCCACCGGTTAAGGTATGAAGCCCACCAATCAACCAAAGAAACTGAAATATAGATTTGAGGGCTGGGAGGTTCCACTGAACAAATGGTCACGCGCGGCACGCGGGGCACGCGGGTCACGCGGGTCACGCTATAATGGTCACGCTAACGCATTCCCCATACACCTCAGCATGATGACTGTCTACAGGGCGATTCCGCAGTTTTGAATGGTATCGTTTGCGGTGATCTGATTGTAAGTTGTCGCTGCTGGTTTGTTCGTCTTTGTACCCTGTTACCTTTGTTCATTTGGTTTCCCACGTTAATGAAGCCAAAGTGTCCACCAACCATGAACTCCGGATTGTCAACTCAAGCTCCGTCTTGTCTGGTTGCTTTTGGAGACTTTAAAGTGGTAGGTCGTGACCTGTGAAGTCGGGTGCTGGTACCTGAATCATCCTGAATCGAGATCCCAATGGCTCAGCAGCCCCCATTTTCCAGCCATCTCGGCCGTCGTGCAACTCGCCGCGCCGAGCGTCTTCGTTCACCTGAGAGCGTCGGAAGGTGAGGACGGTGTCCCCCTCCGCGAACCTCGCCAGATCTAAGACCTCCTTCGCGCGGCGGAGGACGGGCCGCGCAGGGGTCGATCTGCAGGTCCAGGGCGGTTCCGACGGACGCGTCCGAAGTTTGGAGGGGCCCTACATGATTGGTTGTTTGAGGTTCTTCCCAGACGCTCCAAACAGCCCTTGGTGCTTCAAAACCTAGGGGTTCGAGACCATATGAGGGTCTAGGAGCCTCTGGGTTGTCGAATTTTCACCCGCGGGTGCTGTGGGTGAGAAGAAAAGGCCCGTTCGACGACCCCCCCCAGCGCCCGAATCGCATGCACCGTGGGACCGCTGGGCCGGTGCGCGTCGGCGAGCCCCCAAACCGTCCTTGCCCCGCTCGCTGGTTTGACCATTGACCGCCACCAAGCGATCAAACTTCCGCACCTGTGGGGAATAACAGGTGGCCCCAAACCGGCCTCTATCGGTGTCCAGGACTGGTCGGATAGAGGCTCTGGGGACCTGAACTCTAGTCACCTGTATATTCGCTGGGCGCTGCGCTGCCCCCCCGCGGATGTGGGAGACATGTCAAGAGCCTCAAGAGCCACACGGAGTTTCTTCAGCTTGGTATGAGGGTTCAAGGATCCATCTGATGTATCCGTGCAAGTATCATGTTGCACTCCTTGAGGGCGCCATGCAGCATGGATGTAAGCGCCATGTGTCCTCTGGATGTAAGCCGGTTGGGCCGAGCTCACATCACTGTCGAATCAGAACAGAATCACCCTTAGCCTTGGGAGTCCAAGACTTTTTTTAAAATAGATCCATAAACTTAGTGCATAGTCGCTGGCACACCATTTTGCCGCTTCGCACTGAAGTTGGTGTCAACCAGCCACGCGATCTGTCAATCGCCTGTGGCATCTGCCACCTCCCC